ATTGCCATACTCTGCATTCAATCTTTCTTCCAATCCACGCCATCAATGTTGGTGCTAAACACGTGCATTTGAACAAATGAACACTTTGAACACATGAAAATAGTAAAAAAAAATGACACTGACCATTGTTGATGAGTGATGCCTTGACCTTAACTTTGCTTTACTATAGGATTGTAACGACTTGTTGAATTGGCCATCTTCATGTCAATGTTAAAAGTTTCCTTTTTCATAACGATAATGACTATGACCTTGCCTTATTTAGTTTTATGTATATATTAATATAATAATAACGAGTACATATTTGTACCCTTCTTACAAATATATGTACTACATTATGTATGATATAAGTGTTGTCTGTGATCTCCCTTCATTTTAAAAAGGGTGCCTCCTTAATTCCTTCATATCTGTAGATGTTTCATATAACATATCTCTATCATAGTGCAATGTAATTAATGTTAATACTTTCATTCAGTATGAATTACGTTCTTACTCTATTGAAGCGTTACCTTTCTGTTGGTTGCCTGGAAGTATTACTTGCTTTGTATGATGTGCTATACCAACAGTAAACAGACATGGTCGTCACACAACTTGTTAGTGATTATTTGTTTCAGCACACTAAGACGTATACACTGAGGTGCTTCCTTCATTAAAATACAACGGTTTTTGATGAAACTATAATCGTCCTCTTAGCCAAAATTTAGACTTACCTCGTAAATTTGGGGCATAACTCCAACAGCAATGGCCGGATCTTAACCAATCTTAGATGCAGAACTTAATAACATCAGTTAACCTTTATAAAATTCGTTTAAAGAGTTATACAGGGCAAAGATGTGTATGCAGGCAGACGGACGGACGGACAGACAACCCCATTCTTCGTTTCGGGTATAATTACACAAACATTATACTGTTCAGAGTACGAAACTATCAATTCCATTAATACAATTCTGATTGATTAGTTCTTAAAATCAAATGTGCATCAAGATAAAAATGAACAAAACCTCATATAAAGCACTTTTTCTTTATTTCTAAATCAGAAAGTCATGAATGTGAAACTGCAGTGAAATAAACATGCAGTAAAAATAAATATGAAATAGATGACAAAAATAACAGTTTTTCTTCAATTGTGATTTATTAATTTACTCACACGACTTGCCATCTCCATATGCATGTTTAAATCAAGACGGAATTAAGCTTATTTTTTCGTTTACGTCAAGAAGATAAAAAAACATGAAGTGACAAAAACACTAGAATGTCGTTTGCCTGGACAGTTAGAGTAAATCAGCGTTACTTTGAAATGCTTCAAGTAATACAGTACAAAGATGACAGTAATAAACATATGTGATTGCACCTTTTACAATTTGTTGATTGGACGAGTACGCCAGAAATAAACTGCAATGCTTCATGCAGCTGTGTCGTCCTTCTCGGACCCATGAGTGATGATAGGGGCCAAAAAATTTGGATGTTGGATCAGAAGGACAAATGAATAGAACCCCGTAAGGATCTGCACTACAGATGTGTTATACATGTCCAAATATCATTTTGCTTTAGTGTAACAGGATTGTATTACAAACTAACCAAAAAAAAAAATGATTCAATTTCAAAAAAAAAAAAACATGCATCTGAAAAAATATGTGAAAAATGGATACTTTTTGTTTACAGAACTTTTTTATTTTACATTTGTTAAAGAACAACATTGAAAATGTTTTACTCTCTCACACAACATCAACATTCCAAATTGTTTCGACAATAACTAAAATTGTCCTTGCGTCGCTAGTTTTAGTTAACTGATTGCTGCTGTGCACTTAAATAAAGTTACATTTTATAAAAATATCATGTAACAAACTAAACAAGATTCAACTATTGGTCTTCGAATACTAATTTTGTAAGTGAAGCCCGTTTGTTTCTAATCTTAACTGTTACATGTATTCCTCACTGTGACATGTCCAACCACTAATACAGACATTCGTTTACACAATTTTGTTGCAAGAAATGTGGCTGAATTTTGTCAATGAACCTCGTTAATCAAGATCGCTACAACGATGTCGATACATATGGATAACAGATATACAGACATAAATACAATTAATCCTACCACTCATTTTGGTCAGACTAAACAGTATCAGACACATTTTATTACATGTTTCCCACTGAAATATTGAAAAGGATTCAATCTATTAAGGAGATATTTTTCAAAAATAAGAAGTATCATATTTTTCACTTAGTAAGAAATTTCGTATTTTTCAACAGTGAGAAATATCGTATTTTCACTATAAAATATCGTATTTTTTAGTAGTAACAAATATCAGTTTTGCTTTTTTGACCAATCAAAACATTGATTATAAACTACCATTGGGAAAAAGTATAAGTGGCCCATCTGATAAAATCCTGGTTAGCTTAACGATACGCAGGCCTCGAGAATAAGCACATGTTATCTATCATGGGATAACTATTCTCTGCAGGAAACACAACGTTTAATTATACAGTTAACTTTCATTTGCATGAAAGCCAGCTGACTATGCAGGACATTAATTATAAATATTTGATCGGACAAAAAATCTATCAAATGCAACATGGTGTCAGCGTCTCCAAGTCCAAAGTTGGGCTAAGCGGTTGGCAGAAAATATAGGAGAACCAGGGTATAACTTACATAGGTGGTGTTGATATTTTATCATCTGGAAAAGTGGTGACAAAACCGTCCCCATCCATTGTTGATTCGGGGCTTATCAACAACGCGAGTGATCTGAGATAATTTATCATTTTAACCATGAGTCGTGTTATCTCACAGTAAACATCTTAGTTATGTTGCCTATAATCACATTTTTGTTATAACAGTGTAAATATCTTAGTTATGTAGTCTGAATTAAAATCCAAATAATACTTCTGTAAATAATCCTAGGTATGAAGCTGATATTTAGGTCACTCTTATGGAATAGTAAACATCCTAGTAATGTAGCACATCTTTTCATCCATTATCTATGATATGACGGGGCTTTTTCTAAATAATTAAAATATTGAAGTAGTTTGGCATACTTTATCAAAAATAAGAGCTTACAAAAAAATATAATAAACAGAGTATCTAACAGTATCCTCAGTAATACGAAATATATTTTGATATATTTCACTCGTGCTGAGCACTCGTGACAAATATCAAAATAGTAGCCATCCTCTTGAAATAGATTTAGTATTACTAAGGACACTGTTATACATACTCTATATATTTGTTTATGATCTTTGGTACCGCTAATGAATCATAACTATATGACATAGCCATAATGGTAGTGAGAATGCATACTTTGATTCGACTCTGTACATCGCCATACTAAATATTTAAACAATAAATAATATTATTTTTACAAAAATACATACAAATACAACTTGTCCATATATACTGATACGCAAAAGAAACGCAATCTTCAATTTTCGGAAATGTTTTTAATATTGCATTCAAAACTTCCGTTTAAGTAACATAGCCAATAGAAGATACACATCCACTCTATTGAATAATTCAGTTAATTTAGCGCTAGCGAAAATCACTTAGGCAAGACAACAGTCAAGATTGGCCATTGGAATTCCCCGATTTCAATTACGAGTATGACCCCCTGTAGCATTTTTGTGCTGCTCAACTTCTGCTATACATACATTTGATAAGACAATTTATTTCTGCCATGGGGATGTTCTGCCACTTATCCAGAAGGCCCTGGTACAGAGCGGGTAAAATTTCTGGTGAATATATATGATACCTTGCTATTCAACAATAACGATAATTTATTAATATTACAAAATCATGGACATTTAAGGGGGATGCGTGTCTTTGGCGTGTCAGTTTTATAATCACAGTTAGTCATACACATGTGTAAAATGATAAGCAGTAAAACAAGTTTTTCTGTGCGTAAAATCCGCAATTAAAAAAATAAATAATTAAATACCAAATTGATATCATACACATAAGTATCTAATAAATTCATATACAGATATATTTCTTCGGTGAAATGAAAAGCTCCACAAAAATATTTCTCTGATATATAACTTTCTCTGATCATTTCTGTTTAACGAAACATATTCGCTCAATGTTATATGGCCTATATTTAAATCCCGATTATAGCTATAGAAAAAATACAGAAAACATCCTAGTAATACAGGCTGTATGAACATATTTGTTTCAACATGGTAAACATCCAAGTCATGTAGCCTGTATTTGGATCTCGTGTTATAACACAGTAAACATCTTAGTTATGTTGCCTATAATCAAATTTCTGTTATAACAGAGTAAATATCTTAGTTATGTAGTCTGTATTAAAATCCCAGTAATACTTCTGTAAATAATCCTAGGTATGAAGCTGATATTTAGGTCACTCTTATGGAATAGTAAACATCCTAGTAATGTAGCACATATTTTCATCTATTATCTAACACAGAAACAATTATTGTAATAAAATTAGGCTATAATTATTGCAATACCAATATATTAAAATATTTTTCAAGAAATAAACTTGTTGCAATACTATTTTTTTGATATGTTCATTATATAACAATCTTTGTTAAACTAATCGTTTTGGAGTTGAAGTATAGTTGTGAAATACTTTTTACCAAAAATAACGTTAACATTGAATAAAAAATATGCTTGGTGTGATATTTTTAGAAAACACTTTCATATTATTTGATGTTTGTCATTGAAGCATGCTTAACTGAAGCATACTTGTCGTATTTTCTGTATAATATCATCGCGTTTAAAAAATATGTCAAGGAATAAAATACATTGTGATACATTGAACTTTCAAATGAATACAACTGAGTAGTTGCATCACTGTTACAGATGAATAACACAGTAAACAACCTAGTTGTGAAGCCTGTATCTACAGTAAGCGTAACCTGTGGTAACATCTCTAATAAATATGTATCCTGTATACATATATATATCTGCTATAACATAACGGTAAACATTTGTTTGTGTGTTATAGCATGCTACCACCATACATATATATATATATATACATCTGTGGCTAATAAACATTTTTGTCAAACTTTCATCATATTTACAGCAAATATAAATATCATTTATGTTCTCAACACCTAATGTCACATTAAATGCATACGACAATCGTAATCAGTATTTAACAAAATTAATGCTTTTTGCTATCTACATAATAGAATTTGAAATTCGATCCGATGGTTTCTGTACAACACGTCACTAATCGCCCATTGAAATAAAATAAACATAGAATATTGACTTTGATGAAATGATTTTTTTATTAAATTGTACACGTAGTGGTCCTTCGGAAAATGTCTTTTTCCATTATATTCTAAAACTGCGCCGAGAGAAAAAACCACACAAGGACCAGTCCGCGAAAAACAGAGCAGACCATCATCTATAAGGTTACATACATCAGTTATCCGGTATTAGAACCATGCTTGAGTCCTTAACCTACAATGGAAATACAATCAAAAATTATGAAAGGTATTTTTTACAACAATGGTTTGGTTACACTACAGCGTTTTGAGATTTGCGGTGGTGTATTATGATTATACAACGCAGAGCGGAGCAAGTGAAACAGATATCTGCGATAGTATAATCAAGATATACCGATACGGATTTTCAAATGCAATGCAATTATTCCTATTATAATTAATGTCAACTAGAATTGCGTTTCCTTTTGAAATTTAGGCTACTCTGACACGTGATGGTAACGACAATATTCGAAGTAAGTAGACTTATTTTGTCCATTCGCAGTCTCGATATTGCTCAGGACGTCATTAATAATCATATTGCCGGTTCAAGTACTGTCGTGGTTATACGCATATTCGAGTTACGTGTCACACTGTGAAATGTAACCACATGGGTTATACTATTGGTGTAATGCACCTTTAATGCACCTTAGGAAATAACAAACAAACATAATATAACTAAGACATTTTTGTATAAATTCCATAGTATTCTCTAATGTTAAATGTTAACAATAACAGGAATGCAATGAAGCAACAGGAAAACGGTGTAAACATTTTAAATAAACGTTGAACCATATTCCCTAGAAAGTTAGGCGTGTACCAGTAGTCAGTTTAAAATGTTGTAGCATCTGATCTGGAAAACATGCATACTGTTTAGAAGACATTAATATCACCTATGTTTCGATTAAACGTTAACACGATAGTTTAAGCATACCTTCGAAAAGAACAAATAACAGTACCTATGCAGGTTTAAGTGCTGCAGTAAGGGATTGTGTGTCCATGTCACATTCCTGCATCGCCAGGAGAATTGCATTTACAGTTGGGCGGGGATTGGTCTCTTTAATGAAAGCTTCCAGTAAAGCGGTGATCTTCGCTCGAATTTTCTTGTTTCTGTAGTTGACGTCAAACTCATCCACTGTTTTGGGCGTGACTCCAAGTTCGAGGAACAGGTTGAAATATGACTTGATGTCTACATGATCAGCGATGATCAGAACATCATCGCCAGACAAACACTTCTTTAACCATTCAGCCGGCAATGTCTCGTCTAATAAATACAGAAAAACATGCAAAGAAAACAACACTGATTGAAACTCGTCTATCGAGAGTCCAAGAAAGAAATTTAAAACAGCAACAGAAAAAAGAGAAAAGCATAGATGCACAAATTTGAAAAAAAAAAAATCAAGAGAGAAATGAAGATGTAAATGTAAACAAACAACATACGACACAAAGTTTAGGGTATCATTGCAATTATTGTGGCTGACTTACGTTCTCCTCACCCCTGTACTATATTATGACAAAATCGAAGCCATATTGTACAAGCCGATCATTTGGATTACATCAAATTAATTGTGCGGCAATGTAACGGTGAAGTTGAAGGGCTTTGTATCCAGAAGGCGCTCCTCTGTAATTTTCAAAGTACCAACCAATCGACTGGTCAAGTTTTTTTAAACCTGACACCAATCAAATAGCTAAAGGTGTAGAGAACCTAAGAAAGCGAAACCCCTGGAACAATGACGATATGTCTAAGGAAGAGGTATGTCATTGACGGAATGATATATAACAAAACCTTTTCAGAATAATAATTAACGACGAAAAGAGAGTGATAGGTTCCAGATACAAACAGTGAGACTGAAGCATTACGTACCTATAAACATCACATTCCTGTTGGAGTCCAGAATGTCCATGAGCATGGAGGGGTCCATTCGATGTCGCGACATTGCATCTGCTATAGCCAGGAATCCAGTATCCGCCTTCGTTCTGAGGTAGTGAACGAATATCTTTGCTATGCGAGATCTAAATGAGAGGTGGCGGTGCTCTTCCATCTCCTGCTCCACTAGCGCGACTGGACAATCCAATTCGGCAAAGAACGTTTGGTATGTACTGCCGATATATTTCGAGACTCTACCAATCTCTTTAAACGATAGCTTTCTATCTGGTAAAGCCTTTGTCAAGTCTGTAATATATATTACACCATCAACATAACATGGTTTAAACATAAACTAACAAACACATATACTATATATTTACCGTATAATGCTGACTGCACAATAACAGTTCAGTGTTAGTGGGAATTAATTCAAAGCTACTTGTGATAGCCTATTCTAAATCAAATGCATTATTCTGATAGTCAAAAAATGAAAATGAAGTATACGATTGGCTGTAAAGGACGTAATATTAGTTTAAATTGATGCACTGGTTGAATTTGTTAAGCAAAATAACTAATTATGGTATGGCTGTATAACTTTTCATCAACTGCATAACCAGTTTGAATAGAAGGTCTTAACTTTTCAAGAAACATTTTATACTTTTCATACTGTATGGATTCACAACACAACCCATCATTAAACAAGATGTTATTATAATTCAAATGAATGAAATAAAATTAAATTAACACACCTCATAAATGTCATACTATGAAGTGTGTATGTTGAGGAACATCGACTTACCAACTTGACGCATGTGAGTCCGTTGTGTCTGTAAAACAAGCGAACAAGCCGTACATTTTGATGGACAATGGATTGGGGAAAACATGCATATAACTACAATACGTTCGCAGGTAACATAATATATGAATCATTTTTATAGTAAGATACTAAGGGTTTTGCCGTAGATTCGCAAAAAAACGCATGAGAGTCAATTTTGTGCCCCTTATATTTGCTTAATAATGTATTCGTAGAAAATATCCTTAGTTGCAATAAACACACTCAAATGACGTCACGATTGAGACGGTACATTTCTAGAGTAAAAAATAGTATACACTATATCTCTGGTATAGTTACCTGTAAGGAAATACGGCAAGAACAGCTATTAAACAGATTAGTTTTTCAAAGGTTGCAATATTTTGTTTGACGCCCGGCGACGTTAAAACAATGACAAGTAACAATATTGACATATGAACCTTAACATCTGCTCTGTATATGAAGTTTCAACACGAATGCTAACTTAATATTGTAACCTTAATGAAAAAGAGCTAGTAAATGTATATGTTTCTTCTTTTGAAGTTCAGAATTCACAGTTGTAAACACACTGCATCATACTTTTACTGAGAGCAAGATTTAGATACACATTAAGAAGACTTCTTGATATTTTTAGTAAATAATTAAGTAGTTCTAACATGTTTATAACTTTGTATTACTTTTGTCGATAAAGGGCTGCAATTGCAAAAGGTGGCGATTGATCGTAAATGTCGTCTCTTCTGACGGTAACCTAACTTACTAGTTGGACTATACAATATATAAGATACAATAATAAAAAACGTTTCAGTATAATGTACATATATGCCAATATGGCAAAAACTTAAAAATGTACAGAATACATGCTAATATAGCATAATCTAAAACAACAATACATACATTTATGAAACAATATTTAGTAATTTACAGCATAAAAGAAAACATTTACAAAAGAAAGTAAAGCAGCAATAAGAACTAAAACTTGTAAATGACAAATATTTCTGGACAAGAAGAAATAGCTGGTAAGTAACTATGATCATTGTGCATTGGACTATTATTTGCTTTGTTGTGTTATTGAAGCATATCTAATATTGTTATAAAAATGCGTAGTCTGTATACCTTCTGATTTTGGTTTATGAACCAGATGTAGAGGTCGTTTCTGTCTATCCATCTAGATTCATTTGAACCGTAGCATTGCAGGCGCTGTACTTGTTGCAGGTCCTCAACCTTCGCCATCTTGTCATCTGCTGCGAACCGGAAGTCATTGTGGAGGTAGAAACGGTATCCTAGATGGCTTTGGTGATTCAACTCCAGAATCCTTTGGAGAAGAAATTTTAAAATATTGAGGAGGTTAATCCCAGTTCCTGTTGGAACTGAGTGATCAGTATCCTTTTTGAACATAGTAACCTTCATGCTATCTTTGCAACAGTTGATGATCATGTTCCACAGACAATCCACAGACAGGCAGGCAAATCCTCGTTGGATGAACTTTGAACCATCAAGATCGGGCTCTTCAAGTCGCTGAAACCTGTGGATACAGGCTGCAATCATCTTGTCCCAGACGGCCTGGGGGATGAAAGGATTATCGAACTTGAGGCAAAGAGTGACAGTTTTGACCGTGTCAGGATCATCAAGAACTGGACAAATTATCTTGGGATCTGCATTTTGAAGAATGCTAGGCACTATGAAGTAATTCACCTCTGCGTCTACAGACAGTGGTTTGGACAGTAAACCGAGAGTTTCCAATGCAATATACAGATATTTTGCCTTTTCAAGGAATCGAAATTCCTCGTGTCGTCCCCAAAGTTGCCTGATAAATGTTACTGGTAAAACACCAGATTTTTCATATGCTGTCCACTCAAGTTTTTGCTTGATTGTTAGTTCTGTAATGAACCTTGGATCGGTGATGATGGATTTGAATGCATTTATTATCCACTGTGGTTGCAAAATGATGAACGGTCTCTTGCTATGAAGATCAAAGCACAGGAATGATCCGAAAAACTTGAGTTTCCTGCAAAAGAATAGTATCTGTTTGAAAAAGTACAAAATTAAAGAAGCATATCTGATAAAATGAATGCTACTGATTGCTACTTACCATAGAAATTCTCTGATGTCATCTTCTACTAAAGGCACTGCTAACTTCTTGTTGATTCCCAACAATTTGGCATACGTCAACATAGCCATGCCTGAGTTCTTCAGTCTCACCAGCTCGTATTCCAAGGCAACCCATCTTGCAGGTACAGGCTTCATCCATTGAGATTGGAGTGGGGCAATCTCTATAATCTTGGTCCACACCCGCTGGTACACATCTGCATGTTTAGTAGAATCATTCAGATCTGCTATGGGGAACATTTCCTGGACGTGGGTTTCTATAATTTCACGTAGTTCAGGTTTCTTGTACAGCTTTTCTAGCACTGAGGTAAATAACCTGTTCTGTTCTTCTTTCTGCGTGAAATACAATAATTTGTATTTTTTCATCAAATATGTTTCCGTCTGCAGTTATATTAATAGTAGCATTAATCTTTGATATACACACAGATTTAATTCAGATAAAGACACAAAACATATACTTTTTTCTTCAATGACAGAACGAACGAAATGGTCTAACTTACTCACAACATGGGCGGCCGTGACCTAATGCTGTTTTAATGAGTTATTTAATACTTTATGATTTTGCAATTCTGCAGAGTTGCAAGATATACAATTTTGTATGACGTTTAAGTTCTGAATAAAATGCAGATGTTCCCCAGTTTATATGTAAATAGAAAGGTATCGAGGTATACAGCATTACAGAGGCGTTTGTTACATGTAAAGTGTTATTTTTTCATTCGTATTTAAACACTTGTGGTGAGATGACGAAACATCGCCCTTTTATTTTGGAAATATTAAGACTGCTTTAATAACCGAATCGCCATTCTCCTGTTGTTAAAAAAAAATTGTCCTTGAATTTCAAATCGATTATGATACATTTGATTGTATCTGGAGAGAGTCTTAAACATTGTTAAACGCTTTTAGATATATCCTCAAGTGAAGAGTTCTGGTGATAGGGAAATTTGACACACACGTGAAAAAAATGTGTTACTGACTTTGTTGCATATGATCTGAAAGAATGTACATTTCATTGCGTTACTAAGAGCAGTACACGATATTCGATTCCTTCATCCCAAACTTAACTGTGCATGATTTTGGTGACAATAGAGAATAATGATATGGTATAAATGTGTGACCGATTCGTTATTCGAATCCTACATCAAAAAAACTATATTTTGAATTTTATAATGAAAATAAGTATAAAACCTCTTTTAAAGTTTAACGCAGACGCCATATAAGACATATAATGTCAACACATGTATTTTCAATATCCACATATGTGATATTTGTTCTTTAAAATACTTACATTCCGAGAAAGAAGGTCCAAATGAGATCCCACGAGGATGATAGGAGGGCATCCTTTACCATGTGCTGCTCTGTCAATAGCATACGTAGCGATAGACCTCAGCCAGAACTCGATTCTTTCTGTAAAAAAAACACCCCAAAGAAACGTTTTTAACAGGGGACGTACAGGCGTGTACCTTTGATAACTGAAACATACAGCAAACTTGTAACGACTCTAATACATTTAGACCACAACGTAACGTTTTTAATATATAATGATATATGTACCTTTCTTATTCATGTATACATTAACACAATTCATAGTAGGCTAATCGATTTGCTGTCGTAGGCTCGGACAGCGTATGCAACATAAATCCACCTCCCTTCGTTACTTGTGTCTCGGTGTTTTCAACCAATTCATAAACTCAATTTGTCATATTCACTAATACATGTGTTGGAGCCATCTTGAATGTCATATACTTAATATCGTACTAGTTATCGGAACGTCACACAATAGTTATACTTGCTGGCCTTTATGAGTTCCATAACATGTGCAAGTAAGTAAAACAAAGGCGTGTTTTTCAAATACACTTTGAATAATAAAAAAGGTGTTTAACTAGTACCGTAACCATCTTCTGCTCGGCTTGGATCTAAGCACATAGCCACGTCGAACACCAGGACGAAGACCATGTTGCTTGACATAAAACAGTGATGAGTGTTATAGAACACCTTCTCTCCCCCAAAGTCATATATTGTGACGTAGCCCTTCACCTCTTCTGCACCGTCACAATCTAATTTGGTGCGCATTACCGCCTGTATAACCTTCTTCTGTTCCATTGGTATTTTCTTTTGAATTGTATTTTCTGAAGTGGAAACTTGTTTTCTTCTTTGTTCTTGAGGTACCGTCTCTTGTTGAACTTCTTCTAAAAAGAGACATTTTCATGAAATATTGAAAATGAGGTTTTGTAATACAGGTATGAAGTTGTAACTATTTATATATTAATATCCTCCACAGCTCCGTACACTGATCAAATCAGAATAAAAATGTATGACATATTTTGTTTAAAATGGAAAACGCAATATTTATTGTAATTTTTTTTTTAAATTATCATGTTTATGAGCCGGACGTTTAAAATATGCTACAAATCATGTCACTCGTTGGTATAACGTAGGTTTGCTACGTTTACTGTGTTAAATGACTAAGGAATCTGACTTTTACTATAATTTTTGTTGGTTTCTGATACCTGAAATGATTACCTCAGTGACGGAATAGCGCACAGGTTATATATGTCATGTTTGACATACACAAGGTAAACGTGTGACTATCAATATGACTACTACGTAATCCGTTCTCATATATTGATGCTACCCTGTTTTAATAGAGTGACAGGCGTTTAAGCGGTAGGCGATTGGTACTTTGCTGAACATCTTCCTTGAAGATTATAGTATTTACAAAAGCCCTTTTTCAATGTTTCTGTACCTTTATCAGTCTTGTTTCTGGCTGGCAACACCGACGCATCCACCGTTGGTGGAGTTGGTGGACTGGCAGACCCTTCTTTTTGTCCAGGAAGTCGATCTGATGTATCTGCAGACGGTTTAACAGCGATATTTTGCTCTTTCCGGTGTTGATCAATGAGCCGTTTTAATCGCTGACGACCAGTCTCGACTTCCCCATCATCATTAAGTTGTTGTCGGAATCCTGTGTTCGGGTTGTAGCCAACATAATTTACAAATACATCAGCGGTATCCGTCGAGCCAGGTCCGCCTTCTGGGATATTTTCCTTTTTGAGTTGTCGGACGAAACATGACTTGCCAACCCCTTTATGACCAACGACAGTAATAGTAATGTTACAAGGGTGTTCTTCATTTTCAGCTATTCCTGTCGTATATTGCTGCTGCTGCTTTTTCTGCTGTTCTCTCTCGAATTGTTCTAAAAAAAACACCAATATCGTATAATTTAACAGTGTGCAAAGTATTCTGTATTTGATAGTACAGTCTAAAACGGACACTACTTGGAACCTTACTACCTGACCAGTTTGTAAAAAGTTTCGGATTGTAGACAGTCTGCTTAACCATCAGCTTTTTGATACTGATACATTATAATTTAAATGTGGATTGTATTGCTGATATTGATCTATAAACAATCATGTAATGATTAAGTGACATAACATGCGGTTAAACTAAGAAAAGAAAAAAAAATTCTTAAGATGAGTATATTCCGTATCATTCAATGTCAGAACACCTGACTTGTACTTACATTTAACATGTTACATACAAAAGAATATTTCAATGTGTTAGTATACGTAATAATTGCTCTGACGGTAATTTTATGCATTTATGTGGAGTGGTTCCGAGAACACGAGACCGCTCTACAAGTAAGACGGGAGTCCGGATAAAAAAAAAATGCCGACTTAGACAAAGATCCATATTGGAATAGAGTTCGGTTTATCCACCATGTTTAGTCTGTGTTTAAATTCAAGAGTGACGTTGGAAATTGATCAGTGTCGAGGAACGTGTGTCGCGACATGCTATAGTGTTTGCACTTGTGCAGAACGCATATGCGAATGTGTCTGCCAAGTATAATTGCATAAAAAGTCGTTGCTAGAAGAATTTTAAGCGAGGCGTAGGTGAATATGAAAATAGGTAAAAACGCATCGTAAACGATAGCTGCCATATGTTGTTCGTATCAATATATGTTTATAAACTTGAGTAAAAAGGTCATATTATCAGAGTGTTTTATTGGAAAGTGAGTTATCATTACTGATATTTAATTTAAGAATATTGACATAAACTTATATGACTATAGCATTCTGTGTGGCTACAATATGCCTCAGGTGTTAATTAAAGCTGTTATAACGGTTTCACATATTTGTTCTTTTCATTTCAATATCGACAGCAGGAGCATAATGGTTATCATAATCTTAGTTATCGTCTCCCTCTCGTCTGTGTCAAAGGTAAAGCAGCTTTATATAGAGCTTAATCATTGGACATATTGGAATAATTAGACTACATATTCCTGAATTTAAGCACAGCATTTGACCGGGTATCAATGTGTTGCTTGATAGCAAAACTTCACGGGTATGCTATTCGGAGAAATTATCTAAGCGTCAAGAACAGGAAGCGACGGAATATAATCATTCAACTGCCGGATGTAATAACACCCGATACTACTGAAGTCCTTGATTTCCTCTGAATAGAAGACGCACGAATAAACTCGATAAGCCAATTTCTGTCTAAATTTCAGGAATTTTGCTACGAGGTCAGTAAACAGAACGAGCAAAGTTGTTTAAGTAATGTTTAATTAATCAAACACGAGGAGTATGTTAATAAGGTATGGTCACCGGTAAAAGGAGACACAACTAGTATAGGGTAACCGTAAATGTCATTCAGCATTGCTGTTATATACAACTATTAGTATATATATATATATTTTATTTTTTTTATTTTTTTATTCAACTTTTTTTTCATACTACAATTACATGCACACCTATTAGTAATAAAAATATCGGAGATAACTGGCTGTCATTGCAAGATGTATCGGTTCCGTTCATTTCAAAGATACCTCAGTTTCAAAAATGATATTCACATAAACTGTCAAAATCTGATACAAAAGATAGTTGAACCGCATTAAGACCTATCAGTCTTATTATTCTAAATATTGATTTAGATGGATACTTTAATTAGATAAACAAAATATATCAATTGAATATTACTCTTGAAATTAAAAACAATGTGATGCTTTAAGAAGAAATAATCAGTATATGTGCATGTACTGCGGTGGCATACATAACGAAGTTCAGAATATGTTGAGAACAATTGTAAATGCTTTCGGTGAAAGTTGATAATTTTTCCAACATTTTCTAATCCCAAGATACATGTTTGTTAAATATATCATAGCAAGTAAAATAAAACGTTAGTCTTTGTTGTGTCTACCTCAGTACCAATACGCCTTTGATAAGCGAGGTGACTTAGACGATCTCATAATTTAAATTGGGCAATTTGTTATAATTTCAAAACCTTTGGACAGTTTTCCTTTTTTGTCTTTTTGTTTAACATGAGAATGTTGAGGAAGGACTGTTTTTATAACTTCCAGTCGCAAATCGGTCGACAGACGATAACAAAACGTTATTCAAGATGTTTATTATAAATCAATTAAATACACAAATGTATCGATTTAGCTCGTCATCACATGGCATCAATTTCAATAAACCTTCTTGGTAAGTTTAGCGGACTCTTCTTATCATGATTTTTATAGAATGTAATGGCTATGAAACAATGGTTAACACTGAAACGCCACTAATAACTGTTTTTAGTTATGGGCTTGGTCCTGTATACATAATATGTAAATAGATGATGGTAAACATATAGATATCACTTAGTGAACTTACCGAGAATTCTGTAAACATATCGACTTCTAACACTTGCAATATTTATTGGTCTTTGTCCAGCTCTGTCCTTCTGTCGAAATAAAGTCGGACACACATCAGATATGTCCTGCATCATCTGTGACCACCGACAGTCAAAGAAAGCCATCATATGAAACACATTGTAACCATCATTGTCTACCACATTCAGGTCCTGGAAAGTCATCTTTTTGGCAATAAAATCAGCGGCCAGTCTACAGTCTGAAGCTATGGCACACATCAAAGGGGTCTGTCCTTTACCATCCCTGGCCCCAAGGTCCGCCCCAGACATGACCAGCTCCTGTACTTGATCGAGATTTCTCCGACGAACGGCATTGTGTAGTGGTATAGATGAAGACATGGTTCCTGTCTGTAAGCATAGTAATGAAAAACAATGGAAACTCTACCTTCAACCTGCCGACTAGTTTGTATAGGTCTTCTCGTATGTTTGATTATATGAGCTAACACGTGTTTCTATGTACAGTATTAATTATATACTGGTAAGGCAAGGTCCTCCGTACATAATTTGATTATGTACTGGCAACACTTGTTTCCGTGTAAGTACTCAATGACATGTTGATTATAGTGTTTCAGTGTTCATTATTACACAACACGCTGGTAACACATATTTTTGTGTAGAATAATAACACTGTTAATCATATAATGAAAACTTAAGCAATTATTACGGAGTACAAAATTTAAGTATCTACTGGTAGCACGTATTCGCCTCTATCACATTGTTAATGTTCCTGTTCACAGTATTATTTAAATACTAGTGACGCATGTTGATTTATATATATGTTGATTGTATAACAGGGACAATTGTTCTTGTGTATCAAATAAAATATATTATTGACAAGTTCTGGATACATACTACAGAGATAAAGGATTATTTCTCCAAAGGTCTTATGTTTGTTTCCATAACGGTAGCAAATGCCCAAGAGTATGAAGTCAAGGGCTGAAATCATTTATAATGTTTCTATCAGTATACAATTCAATTTAATATGCATATGTTGCTTATTGGCGCTACACTTAAACGAATCTTTATTTCTTGCATTCCGTTATACATGTAAGCAAAGTGAGTATTTAATGTTTTGCAACTCATATGTATGGTTAAAACATGGTAATATGTGTGATATTTTAATGTAGCTTATTTTGATCAATTTACATTTAGTCAACATGTGTTGAAATACTTTCTTTGCTTGAAAACCTCGTGTTTCCTGGATTTGGGAATAAAAAAAAAAACATTTTCACACTAGCTTGAATTAAATGCACAGGTGTACAAAATAGTTTATCCTCAGATAAAATGCTTCCTTTCGTAACCGTTAAGTAATTATTCCGAGTAAATATTCAAAGAAGTATTCCTACCTTTATGTATGTTGCCAATACTATGTTCGGAGCATTGTAATTGATACACATTATCACCAAACATTAAAATCAACGAAACATGTAAACCCTTCTTCTGATTGTTGATTAAATGTTTGTCTTTAAGTGCAGAAATGCAATATTTAGAATTAAAAATGAAAAAGTTTTGAAAGACGTACATTTATAATAAATATATATTTTGCTACAGGAACAGTCATGTGCATGTTACTAGTGTTGCTTTTAGATAAATGGAGTTATTAGTGTTAATGTACATTTCTCACTCATTTGTTATTGATGTAAAGTTACGTACAGCATTATGTTATACATCATTAACTCAGACAGGTTTCAGAAAGTCAGGACCCAGTTAAAACGCACGGTAAACAAAAATTGCGACTGCGGGTGATATCGATATATTAATAGTTCATCACGTTACAGGTAAAAATAAATGAAATTATTCTATCTTCTATGTTTAATATCAACAAACCTTAAATAATGGTTTTATTGATTCTTAAATCCAAAAGAAAATGCATCCTTACTTTCATACTGGAAGCTCTTATTTTTCAAATTAACCACTAGCTTTCGTTACACAGATGTGCGTCATGAACTAACCTTGTTGATCAAAAGTAAGTTCGCAAAATGACTCGCGTTACTGTATAAAATAATGCGCCTCTGAGTTTTGTGTTCTTGTGAATTATGTAGGTACCGTTTACGCATCTGTTTACCACGGCATTATTCACATAGGTAAGTTTTGCTTTCGTGACCTAGTGTGTTATCGGTACAACATTTCTGTCGTCTGCGAAGCTATTGGTTGTCGGGAAAATATGTTAACCCATAAGTTAAAAAAAGTTAAAAATTACTGTACACACTCATATAGCCGTGGACTTTATGAGAAGAGTTGTTTTTGTCGACTGAAGTTGTACGTCCTGTCCAAATAAGTGGTCAAGAGTAATATTGGTGAGACCGGAGTGTTTGGGCGAGTGAGCTGACTCGTAAAAAACCTGTCATGCGTTGATCATGTTCTTGGGTTACATTACCTTTAACGGCGTGGGGATGATCACTTCTGTTGATGGGATCACGAACTCGTATAAATATATTATGTTTCTGATAATCATTTGCAGTATTATTTTGTTCTTGTTGCCTTTTTATGCAATGTCATATATTTCAGTGTGTAACATCTCCCATGAAACCGCATACGTGATCCGTGTTTTAAAATACACCATCTATTTAGACAGTTGGCATTTCCTTCAATTTTAGTTTGATCTCATTCAGCTTCTATTAAGATGATAAGTTGGCAGGCATAAACAACCTGTGCATTTTTTCTAACAATCTATATATTACAAAAATTGGCAGCATTAATAGAACACTTACACATGTTATTGAGGATTACAATTTAAGTCTAAATTTAATGATTTTAAAACCATGTTGACTAATATAGTTGCAATTTTGTAATCATTCTGGATAAGTCTAGTTAAAAGTCATTAAATACAAGGACGACGACGGAAATAGCCATCGCATTGACCCTTAATGATAAACTATTCCCCGAGGCTGTACACAGTGCCTGAAGTTTAAATATTCTTTCTCTACAACTGTTTAATTTACTGAGGTATCCCTAACCTGATCACTTGATTGTGTTGACTCTCCTGTCGCCATTACTTAATTTCAGACTGCTCCAGTTCAGTGTCCGAATCCTTAAAGATAAGAAGTTAAACATTTGAATAATTTCAATAGAATAGCAATAGGTATGTTTTGACGTCAGAAAATCGCTGTAGAAATAGCCTTAAGTCAACTCAAATGTATACCCGTGTTTCGTGAATCAGCATAGGTTGCAATCTCGCAAGCATCATTATTAATGAACTGATCAAATATCAATCTATATGAATGACGTTCCCATGGAGTCTTATTTCCTTGAAATCCCGTCCACTATTTTGGAAGCAATATTTTACCAGCATATCATTGCACATTGTGTTCAGATCCTCGGTAAAATATATCTCTTTGTTGTACAGTCCAGCCGTGTCTTTGCTTCCAATACAATTTCATTATAACTGAAATACAAGCTGTTGGCATATTCTCTTATAATTTGCTTTAGCTATGTATCACAATTCATGACTAACTAGAACTGTAAGCCAAAGGCTAACTAATACCCGCCGATCCTATATAAACCAGAACTGTAAGCAAAAGGCTAACTAAGACAAAGCATTGCAAAGCAATTTAAAGTCTCACGCAATTGACAATTTCTGTATTTACTGAATTGTACACGTATTACAGTATATAGGTCACTGATATAATTCATGTACTATCTACCCATGCCAAAACATACTTGCATACCAAATAGTGTTAGCCATGATGAACCAGTTTTGCTGAAATCGTCTAAGTAGTTTAGGAAGAGCTGTCAGGACAGATATTTTTAAAAAGGGCCACAACTCCTTAAAATAAGTCGAAATGAAAAAAAAATATGTCCCGAATGCACAAAATCAGGGGGTAATAACTATATCTGTAAACTTTCATTGAAATAGGCCCAGCAGTTTAGGGGACAGAACAAGTTCAAAAGAGTTATCATGAAAACAATGCCACTTAGACGGGCAACGTGTGGCAATTGCCATATCTATAATCTTTTTTTTTTGGAAACGACCTAATAGATCATTAGAAGTTGTCAGGACAAGGAATGTCCAATGAAGGTCCATTACTCCTTTTAAAGAGTCAGAATAAAAAACTTATTGCTTGGACGCACAACAACAGGGGGCAGTTACAATATCTATAAACCCATAAGATTAGAAAAAGTTGTCAGGACAAGGATTTTTTGCAACAAAGGGTCATAACACCGTTAAAAAGGGGCGTACAGATTCTGTTGAAAATGGTCCTATAGTTATGAAGGAGTTGTCTGAGAGACGATACGGGTTGCATCAAACATTTTGCTCAATGAATGATATAGAACTTTTACAGATGTCACTTCATCACAACAACAACAACAAATGTAGACATCTCGCCCAACGGCTAAAATTCTGTCCTCTGATATACGAAATTACGCCAGCGTTGGTAAATACGTATACTCGTGAAAAACACAAAATTTGCCAGGAGCCTACGGGAGCAAGTCTTATCAGGCGCTAACCGGAAGTCCTAACAGGAAGCAAAATAATAACGTGGACCTCTTAAAAGGTTGTCTTTATTCAGAGCTCTCTTCTTCACTATATATACGTCTGTGGGTGCTCTGAGGTATATGCACGCACTTGACGATCTCGGTAAAACCTAATGCCAGACAGTAACGCGATCATACCATCCTGATATGTCTAACAAATATGATAATTAGTTTCGACGGGCATTACATTAAAGACGGTGGGTCTTTCATATAAGAGTGCATTAGCGACCTTGAAGTCTATCATATAACACGGTAATTTTTGTTTACAGACCACATGCCGAGGCAAACTCAATAACGCGAGCGATTATTACAGAACAGGTAATGCGACGTAGTTTACACACCCTTCTTGTGCATTTTAATGGTTTCCAGACCTTTAAATATGTTATCATCGATATTTCAATTCCAGCATTTAACAAGAGGCCAATGACCACGTACCTTCCAGGACAAGGTTATTAGTCGTCAGGTTAAGTGATATGCTTTGTGAAATAGGACATTTGTATACATGCTTAATTTTTAATGTGTCAGTCAATTATGGCATTGGCATGCATGTTTGAGTCATATATATATCTATATGCCATTGACAGCCAATGATACCCATGTGTCATTCAATTGTGGCATTGACATGCATGTTTGAGTAACATATATATATGCCATTGACAGCCATTGATACCCATCTGTCAGTCAATTGTGGCATTGACATGCATGTTTGAGTCAAATATATATGCAATTGACAGCCATTGATACCCATGTGTCATTGACAGCCATGTGTGCATTAACAGCCATGTATGCGATCGACATGTATGCATAATTGAGTCATGCGTGTCACTGATAGCCACATGTGCCATTGATAGCCATGCATGCAATCAATAGCCATGAGTGTCATTGACACCGATGTATGTCATTGATATCCATGTGCCGTTGACAACCATGTTTTCCGTCGACAGCAATGTGTGCCATTGACACACATGTGTGACACTGATATCCATGTTTGCCATTGATATGTCATTGACAGTCATGTATGCCAATGTCAGCCATGTATGCCATTGTCAGCCATGTATGCCATTGACAACCATGTGTGTCATTGTCAGCCATGTATCATTGACAGTCATGTGTGTCATTGACGGCCATGTATGTCATTGTCAGCCATGTATCATTGACAACCATGTGTGCCATTGTCAACCATGTGCCATTGACAACCATGTGCCATAGAAGACCGCCATGTAATCCATTGACCGCCATGTATGCCATTGACAGCCCATTCCAATATGACCGAGTCAATATGTGAATGCTCATAGAGCAAGTATTGTAGTTTACAGACTCATTATAGTGCATAAGTTGGAAGAAATTAAAATTTACAACAAAACCAATTTTCCCGCGGCACCGTGTTCCTTTTGTCGTTTACCAAAGTATCGTCAAAATGGCATTGCCAAAAAAAATAGTTTGTAAACAACTTTGTATTTCTCTAGTTAACGGCAACGGAAATTAATGAAGTTGTTATGACAAGGAACTTTAAACAAATATCTGTCAGCCTGCAAAGAGATGTTAAAGTCGGCCCATTATCAAAAACAATCAGGATCATTTATTGAAAAAAACGTGTATACTGTTCTTTAGTCTAAACAGGTGCAATTATGTTGAAGATGTTTATCTGTATTACATCTGAAGTAAATGACTTATTTATAATATTAAAAATGCATAGTAATATGCTATTCTATATCGGTGGTATTTAAGAGCATATTGTTCAATCTCTATGACATTGCTATGGCAGGTACGAAAAACGGTTATCGCTCTTATAAAACATTACGTCGCGTTATATGTTATGACGTCGTAGTATATCCTGAAAATATTGGTGTAGATTTTTGCTGAAACATCATCAATTCAAACTGTACAATAACCTGTTTGGCTTCATCACCCAACCGTAAACAAGTGTTTCAGTTACATCGTTAGCTTGAACAATATAAATAAACTGTGATAACGTCGTTTACCGCAATGTTTGGGGTAGTAAATGTAAATCGTACTTCTGTGTGGTTAAACAATCGAATCACTACTCAGTGCTGCGGTTTGTTCAAAACTATTTCGCTTTTATCAGAAATAAAAAATAAAAAAAACATTTACTGTGAATTTAGAAGTGCCCGTGTGTCTTTTTAAATTCAATTACTTGGAATAAATCGTATACAAACAAATCCCGGATTTATGGGCACTAGGCATAAACAGAACTACTTATATAAATACATTCATCCGGACTAAAATATTAAATCGTAGACAAAATGTAACCACCTAAAGTCTCCAAGTCTTCAATCTCCAAGGCGGATTCTAAAAAGTTATAACTTCCTATCAGGAAGTAAAATAAGAACGTGTACCTCTTAAAGGCTTATCTTAAATTACAGAACACTATTAGGCGGTTTCTTTGGAGAGAAAATTACTCTGCAATGACTGCGCAGCAATTATGGCTACCTATACAATTTAATATTTGTAGCATGTCCCATCGGTTTAAATACTCATCATATTTACTAACTCTTTGGTACTGCATGCATATATAGTGTATATGCACGTGTGGTGTATATGTAAATTACGTTATACAGAACAGTATAGGCAGTACTCTGCATAACGCTTCATTTAATATTGATAAGTCTTTGCAATTGACAGGTTGATTTGTATAAACATGTTGGCCGTGGTTCGTCAGAAAAAAAACCGATGGGCAGGTAATCTCTATTTAAATCAATTTTCACATAGCTTTTTTTAATATAAATAAGCAACCATTTAATGGGTTATAAATTAAAGTTGTACCATAATTAATGGTCCAGGCCATCACGCCTGACTCCCTCAAAATATCAGTATACAATCCTGGGCGATGTCTCCCATACCTGAATTGGGATTTAGGTATCTACACGCAGGTCGAGGTACAGGTACAGTGTCATTTTAATGTCAAAAGTCAAAATCAGCATTTTTATGCAGTTTTAGTTTAATATGTTCGTATAGGATAAAATGCAAAAGATAGCTCTATACAATTTTAAAGAAATATGCAGAAAGGCAAGACGTTGTGTTGCATACGGTTTTAGGGTTCTAGTGTCCAAGGTCAGATTCTAATTAATTAAAGTTCAAAGATTCATAGGTGTAAATATAACACATTTGTTGTTCTGCAGTTCCGAAGGCCTTTTTGGAAGCATAATCCATAAGTTTTACTAAATTTGTTGGTTAAACAAAAGACAATGCCCTATACGTTTGTGCATTCTGATAATCAAACCTGCTTTCTGTTGTAGACCAGATTTATCTTTAATGATTGAAACTCATAACATTCTTAGAAATAATTATTATAGGCAGAAAAAAAGATGAAGTCAGCACACCATGTGCGCATTAAACGTGTGTACACATACAGTGACATTGCTTAACCTATCACCCAAATCTAGCCACCAAACTATTATGACATTTAATGTTACTGCCATCATTCAGAATTTTGTAATAACTAATTTAAAAATAATGTTCCAAATGCACTGACCAGTTTCCATCTGAACAATGCCGTTCACTTCTGTAAGAGGCCTATGAATTTACCCTTTGTTT